AGAGACATAGGATGGCAGAGATGGAGAGACACAGAGGATGGGAGAGAGGGAGAGAGACAGAGGGTAGGAGAGAGGGAGAGAGACATAGGATGGGAGAGAGGGAGAGAGACATAGGATGGCAGAGGTGGAGAGACACAGAAGATGGGAGAGAGGGAGACACCAGTATAAACAACACTGCATTTGCTACCAGGGATTCAAACTTGGCGGGTGGAAGTGACATCATGTTGAATGGTGAGAAAACTGGAAAGTCCAACACTACGGTTCCCCCTTGCCAGGTAATAATAATAATAATAATCCTTGCATTTGATATAGCGCTTTTCACATCTTCTCAACGTCTCAAAGTGCTTCACTGAATATTCCGTAAAGTGAATTGACTGTATATTTTGTGGGCGAAATGTGGCAGCCAATTGCACACAGCAGTGTCCTTACAAACAGTCGTAGGTGAGAGATGGGAGGAAGAGAGAGTCAGACAGAGGATGGGAGGGAAGTAGAAAGACAGAGGATGGGACGGATGGAGACAGATAGAGGCTGGAATGGAGAGAGTGAGATACAGAATGGGATGTCAGGAAACAGATAAGACTGTGAAGGAGGGAGGGAGACAGACAGTGGATGGCAGGGAATGAGAATGGAGGGACGATTGGGTGGATTGAGTACCCAAATTATTATTTAATTTTACTTTTTCTTATCGAACCCGGGTCTCTCACTTGCGAGGCGAGTGCTCTAACCACTGAGCTGCAGGCCATTGTGAAACATCTCACTAAAAGCCATGTATGGTTATGATGACTGCAGCGCTGTTGTCACTGATGAAGACTCCTCAAATCTGAATGGTTTTCCTGAATTCACAGTGTGAGAACGGTGAGCCTCACCTCTGGCTTCTCTGCAACACAGTAAGGCCTGAAGCACTTCCTCAGCCACGAGAGCTGCCACAGTTTCCGCTTTCAGTCCCTCGGTGGCTGCTCGGATGACAGCACCTCCTGAAGGACGGTCTCAGAATCTTGCGACGAGATATCGTTGGAGAAACAGCCCAGCTCCTTGAAGTAGGTAGCGGAAAACTGTATTGACCCGTTTCCATTCCAAAACAGGGTTTGTTTGCAGAAGCAATATAGTTTTTGTTCCGACACATACAAATTATATATAATTAATTTATAGAATACATAAATATATATATGTAATTAACTATTAGAAACAATATTAAAGAACATGGGGATAAACTGGAAGCTGATTGAGGAAATGATCCAGCTTTCTTCCCTAACTCCCTCCTGTCAAAGTGCTGACTGGGCTAATTTGAGCTTCCATTAGCTCTCCTCTCTCAAGTGCCATCTACACTGTGACTGCAGGACATGCTATTGCAAACCCTGAAACAAAGTCTTATCTCTTCCTGACCAGCTGTTTATCTTCATGAGTTTCCAGCAAAAGTAAGGAGTTAGTGGCAAAGACGTCTGGTTGATTCTCTCTCTCTGCCACACTCTTACCCAGGGACAGCAAAACCAATTGTAACAGCCAAGCTGAGACTGGCTCAATCAGAGAAGATCAAACTTCAGAGATGAAGAATTTTTCATGAATAAATGACAAATTGGTAGCCCGACAAAGGTCCGGTTCCTTTGTTTCGTGCTAAAAATAAGCAGTTTTTTATATGAGAGATTTGGATTACATTCGGCTACAGTGGAGTCCTGTAGCTCAGTGGTTAGAGCACTCGCTTTGCAAGTGAGAGACCTGAGTTCAATTCCAGGCAGAGGGCCAAACCTTGGGCAAGTTTCCTTACTCCACACAGAGCCTAATAATAATCCCTCCAAAACCAAAAACAATAATAAATTGGTCATTTTCAATCTACGACTGTTTGTGGGACATTGCTGTGCGCAATTGGCTGCCGCGTTCGCCCACAAATATACAGTCAATTCACTTTACAGTGTGTTCTGTGAAGCGCTTTGGGACGTCCTCCTGACGTGAAAAGCGCTATATCAAATGCAAGGATTATTATTATTAAGGGCAGTTGTGATTAGCCTGTTGAACACTGAGCTGGATCATTGTTTTCCACCTCATTTACATGCTTCGCAATTAATTATAGAGCTGGCTGCAAACAGCTATTTTTATATTTTTTCAAGTTTGCAACCATTTCATTTTTCAGATGTTGCCAATTTGCACTGGAGTTTGAAGGTGAAACAGTGCCACAGGGCAGACAGTGAAATGAGCTGACAGACAGAGAGAGATAGGTCCTATGCTCATTTACATAGCTGACTCTGAAAGTTGATTTTCTCATATTTATCAGGATTATCTTTTTTAAACATCAGTGGATTTAAAGGCAGCTTCAGGGACGGTTAATGGACAGTTTGTAGGAAGTGAAGAGAGTTCAATACTGGTACGGTCCACGAGACCCTAGCCCAGCTTATAGCTACTGCTCCTCCCATCTGGCTACCACTGGTCCCGATCACTGGGAAACCAGCCCTGTGACTCCCTGCCACTGCCTGATTTATGGGCCTGTGACGTGACTCCCACTTGGTTTACATGGGTTTCTGAGGCCATGCCACTTGCTGGCTTGCCACTGTCCCTGACGCTTGCTGGAGCATGGGCGAGAGGGAGACACACTGGTACATAAATAAGGAGCGTGAGGGATTTGAAAATATGGAGGAAAGCAATTTGGATTTGGCAGGAGATGGATATGGATCTGAGGGTGTGAGGAATATGCACCTGTGGGATTGACAGATATGGGCATGGGTGTGAGGGATATGGACATGGGGGGTGAGCGATATGGGCGTCGGGAGGGTGAGGGATATGGTAGTGGGAGTGAGGGATCTGGTAATTGGGATGGTGAGGGATTTGGAAGTAGGAAGGGTGAGGGGTATCGACTTGTGGGGGTGAAGGATATGGATAAGAAGGCGTGAGGTATATGGATGTGAGCGTGGATGAGAGATATGGACATAAGGGTGAGGAATATGGTTGTTTGAGGTGAGAACTTGGGGCTGAGGGATATGGATAAGAGGGGGTGAGGTATATGGACTTTGGGTGAGAGAAATGGACTGGATGTGAGGAATATGGATGTGGGGATGAGGAATATGAACGTAACAGTGGGTGAAGGGTATAGATGTACGTGTGTAAGCAACTATTCACATCAGAATATACCTTAAAGTGAATTAACTTTATATTCAATGGGTGAAATATGACAGCCAATTGCATACAGTGTCCCATAAACAGTCCTGGATTGAGTAACCAAATTATTCTTATTATTTTTGAAGAGATTATTACCACCGGAAAGTATTCCATCAATCGACTAACAACCAGTATCCTATTTAAGGTAAACAGAGGCATGTGGAGTAATGATACTTGCTCAACGTTTTGCTCTGTGGGAATCAACAACAACAATATTATATTTGTAAAGCACATTTCAATGAGGAGGATGTCCCAAGGAGCAGAGCAGTCATAGATCAGGATCTGAGCATGGGTGAGTGGGGTGTGTGTGTGTGTGTGTGTGATGCAGGGGCAGGATTGGAATTAAGGAGAGCAGAGAGCACTGAAGGTACGGTAAAACCAGGAGGGTCTTGAGTTGTGCCTTGAAAGAGGCAAGAGAGGGAGCGAGATGAGGGGATTGTGGGATGGAGTCTCAAAAGGTAGGGCAGAGAGGCCATCAATGAGTCATGCAGAAGATATGGAGCAGGTCGGAGTCTTCTTAATGGAGGGAGCAGATAGGTTGATAGGGGTCAGAGAGCTAGAAGGGGGCCTTGAAAGTAAGGAAGAGGATCTTGAATGCTATCCTCTGAGAGATGGGGAGCCAGTGGAGCCGGATGTGGGCGAGGATGGGAGTGATTGGTTCACGGAGCCTGGTGCGGGAGAGGATATGACCCCTTTGGAGTTTGTTAGGATGTCAGTGTCCTAGAATTGAGGGTGGAGGCAGAAAGATAGAGTTGGGTGTCATCCACATATATGTGGAAGTTGACCCTATATCTGTGGATGATGTCACCAAGAGGGAGCATGTAGAGGTTGAAGAGGAGAGGAACATGGAGGATGAGGAGATAGAGAAATCCCTAATTACAGGTGGACAGGATGTTGTTGTGAACTTGACCAGAGCAGTATCCATGTTGTGAGCAGCATGGAAACCCATTGGAGAGGCTAGTGAAGGGAATGGTAGGATAGGAAGGAGCAAAGCTTGGAAGCAATGACTCTTTCAAGGACCTTGAAAAGAAAAGGGAGATTGGAGATAAGCCAGCAGTTAGAAAAGAAGAATGGGCCCAGGGAAGACTTTTTCCAGAAAAGGGAGATCATATGTCTTTTTAGGGTGATGGAATGGCGATATATGATCTGGAGAGATTCTTGGTGTGGGAGAGTAGAGGGCAGAGGAGGTGGAGCTGGGAGCTAAGGAGAGGGGTGGGGAGGGGTCAAGGGAATGGGTGGTGTGGTCATGCAAACTTGCTTGTAAGGCAAGTGTTTTAACTGCTGAGCTATAGTGTCCATATCCCTTATCTCACATCTATGTTCCTCATCCCCATGTCCATATCCTTAGCCCCTCATTTCTGTATCCCTTATGCAACATCCATATACTTCACCTTCTCATATTTATATTCCTCAGAGCCCACATCAATATTCCTCGCCAACCATACTCTTCTACACATCCATGTTGTTCACCCTCCCACTTTCATATCCGTCAACTGGATGTGGATATGAGGGTGAAGTGAGGGATATGACTGTGAGAGTGAAGGGATCAGGACATTTAGGGAGATGGATATGGGGTTAGATATATGGATCTGAGGATGTGAATGATATGGGTGTTATCGCATTTGCTGCCAGTCTCATCTTCTTTGTGCACAGTTACTAATCCATACAATTATCATCATATTCTCCAGATGTGTGTTTTGTAGATCGTATTTTGTTATTGTAATTTATTGTATTTGCTATCTTTTATACAGTAATGACGTATGTGATGACCCTTCTGAGCTTGCGTAATGAAGGGTATAAAATGAGTGTGAGGCAACTATTGCGGCTCCATTTTAACAATATTCAATTGTAGTCAGTCAGTCAGTCAAAATGGCCGCTCTCGAGCAAACAGCCTTCGCGCTCGCCCGCAGCTCCGTCAGCAGCATCGTGCAGCTGCACGGCAACCTCTGCTGCCAGTCGCTGCCTCGCAAGAGCCCCGGCGCCGGCAGCTCTCTCCCCCAGAGCCCCGACCAGGACGACGACCACTCGTGCCCCCGCTTCCCGCCCGCCGCCGACCCGCTGTACCTCAGCACCAGCCGCCTGGTGCGCGGCTTCGTCCGCGAGTTCGCTCTGGGCTCGGACCCGCCGAGCTCGGGCCTGGGCTGGCTGGCCGGCAAGGACCGCGCCGCGGGCACGCTCAAGAGCATGGGCCGCAAGGTCATCGACAAGCACCGCGCCGTGTTCACAGGTGAGCGCGCGGTCTGTGCCGGGCCCGTGTCCCTAATATTAAATGTTTTAAATACATTAAACCCAGAAGAAACTATGGTTTCAGTTTCACCTTCCCCTTTCTGGTTAAATATTTGATTGGGCTTTCCTCTCGTCCTTCTGGTAAACATGACCCATTCCTTCCCCCGCATAAAAGTTTAAGGCCGTAAGATTTCACCATTTCTTCCCTGGCCAAGACTCCCCTTACCAGTGACTTACCCCGGTTAGTCCAAACCCACAAAACATTTTTTTTAAAAGGCTTTATTAGAGTACATTAGAATATAGCACAGAAACAGGCCATTTGGCCCAACTGGTCTACGCCAGTGTTTATGCTCCACACGAGCCTCCTCCTGCCCTTCCTCAACTAAGCTTTCAAGCCTAACCTTCTATTGCTTTCTCCCTCATGTACTTCTCTCGCTTTCCTTTAAATATATCTATGTCATTTGCCTCAACAGCTCCTTGTGGAGCATGTTCCACATTCCCACTACTCTGCGTGAAGACATTTCTTCTAACTTCCCTATTTAATCTATTGGTGACTATTTTATATTGATGGCCCCACAAGTGGAAACATCTTTCCTATGTTGACCCTATCGAAACCTTTCATCATTTTAAAGACCTCTATCAGGTCACCCCTTACCCTCCTCTTTTCAAAAGAGGAGAGTAAGCGGTCACCCTTTAGCTTTATTAGCTAAAGTTGGAGCCCTTTCCACTCTTAATAGGGCAGCTGTAACCAGGGTGATTTTTAAGTTCCAAATATGATAATTTCTTTGTGTGACTATGCTTGCTTAAAAATCCTTACCTGTTTGTTTGCAGCTGACTGATAATAAATGTTTGATAGGGTTGATCTTTATTAGAGTGTTTCAGTTTTCCAGAACATTTACTGACTTTCTTCAGGTGGGGAGTTTGAAGTGTAATTGGGGGAGGGGTGCGGGTAGATTTTAAAATGTTATTTCCCCGATATATTTATCCAGACAAGCCCTTATCGTTGCAAAGTTAAACTCCATATTGGTTGCTATGTAATTCGAATTCTGGAAAGTTCCACCCTTTCATAGTAGGAAGAAGGTCTGTCCCTGGGAACGGTTAACTTGTTTGTGAACTCACTGTGCATTTACAGTGGAATCTGCTCCAATTGGAGCTGGTTAACACTAAATTTAAGTCAGATGAAATGCCCGACCTCGATTCATTTGTATACTTACCTGTTTAAAATATGCCAGTTAATTTGGACAAAAATGCCTTGCTGGCCTGCACTGCATCTGCTCACTGAGGCATTCTGTGTCTGGAGTGGGTCCATTCAACCATGAGTGACTACAGGGTGGAGATGAGAGGATTCACATTGTGATTGACAGGGGACTCTAGACATTCATAAGCGGCTGGAGTTGGACTGTCATTCAGTGATGGGACGGAGGAAGTGGGAAGAATCAAGGTAGATAATGGGAGGAGTTAAATCACGATGGATTGACACAGTGGACACCATCCATTCACAAGCGGCTCTCGGGGGCAGTGATTGCATTGTGGACCAATTAATGGCGACTCCAAGGTGATTGACCATAGCCACCGCTAATTGGTCCTCTTCCCATCCAACGGGAACATTAATGGCAGGGGAGAGGCATTGAGCAGAGAGCAGGAAGAGAATAGAAAGATAAGAACTTTGGATGCCGGACATCAGGTAAATCAGACAAATCTTCCTGCTCGGATGTGTCTAGCTAAAGTGGATTCCACTCTATTTCTGTATTGGTTTTCTATTCCTAGAACAAAGTACATTTCCCACTTCCGTATTAGTTTGTGAGCTACTGTCCTTTATGAAGTGGCATTTGCAAAATTTCCTCTTCTTCATGGGCTTTCAAGATATATGAAAATAACTACATGGAAGTTGACAGAGAGATTTTTGATAGAAATCGTTGAACAGGTCAGTGAACCTGTGTATGAAAATACATAGCCAGCACTTTAGGGACACATTATTTGTTATTTGGTGTAGGTTTGTGAAATTAGTGGTGCAATGGAATTGGACTGTTCTCAAATTCAAATCTCATTATATAAGGCGGAAGAAGAAATCAGTGGTTAGTTTGAATTCTGGGAAGGAATACATCTGGTGAGACGGGCAACAATTACTGTCATTTCTTGTGATGCTGTTGAAGAAGGAGGACTATACTGAAATCTCTTTAGCTATTGCATTAATAATAATAATAATCCCTCCAAAATAACAAAACAATAATAATTTGGTCATTTTCAATCTACGACTGTTTATGGGACATTACTGTGCGCAATTGGCTGCCGCGTTCGCCCACAAATATACAGTCAATTCACTTTACAGTGTGTTCTGTGAAGCGCTTTGGGACGTCCTCCCGACGTGAAAAGCGCTTTATCAAATGCAAGGATTATTATTATTATTACAGTCATCGAATTACTGGTTAGGCTGATGAGATGGCGTAGTTTTCAACTATAACGTAACTTAAGTTTTCTGAAATGAATTTGCATTCTAAGCTTTCTCAGTGAGTTTCAGAAATCCCCATTTGATAAAACAATGGCTTGCATTACAGAGTAGATTGACTGGTGCACAAATCCAGTTTATGGCAATTTATAACTAAATTTATATGGTCAGGTTAACCTTGCCCTCACTTTATCTTTTGGTCTTGACATTTTAGGAGGGTGTGGTGCAAACACTGGCAGTTTAAGATAAGTTTTGTGTTGGCACTGTTGCAGCACTAACTGAAAGGTCAATTTCTTTTAAATGCTTAAATCCATTTCCTGTGCAGAAAATCGCAGACCAGGCATCAGATTTCATAGCATTGAAGGTTGTTTGGATTCCCAATGGGTTTTAAGCAGATTTGACAGGGAAGTGATGTAGTAAAAGATAGTATTTAAAATCATAAACAGCTGACATTGCCGACTGTTCTGCAAGTGAGAGTTCTTGGAACTGGTTGATGCATTGCTCTTTGTGTTTTACCATGGCTTCCCTTTCTGTCCTTTCGAGTGGGAGAAAATATCTTAGGAAACATGGCCTGCAGCTCAATGGACCTTTCCGAAACAAATAGTAGCCTATATCATTGAGGTGGGAATTTAAATGGAAAGGTGAGGAATGAGGACTGTTTCTGTTGTGGTTGCAGGAGTAGGCATTAGCAATACCAGCCACAGTAAGAAACAAAATTGTTTCAGTATCTATTTTCCTTAATTGACTTGTTTGTGGTCAAAAAATGGTTTGGTGTCAATAATCCCTGCAGTGAATAGCTCACAACTACAAAAGGGCTTTTTAGAACTGCCTTATGAAGTTTTTATTTGGTTAAGCATGGAATCCCTTTGGCAGGATGTGGGTTTGTATTGATGTAGGATATTACCCTGGAGTTCAACATGCATTGTTAGGATGTGTAAAGGGAGTGTGAATTTAAGAATAATACTTGCATTTGATAAAGCGTCTTATCACATCGTTAAGACGTCTCAATTTTGATCTGTGATGGTTGGATAGAGAGTAGTGTCATTGATCAATCACCTGTCAGGAATGCTAAGACTAGAAGTGATCCTCAATGTAGATTCTTAGTTATGCTAGTTGCGTAAACAATTTAGATTGGTACACTACGATTATTTTCTGCTCCAACATTGTATGGGACCTGGTTCATTCAGAACCAAAGGGACTCAGCAGATGCCTCAGGTTTTCTGTATGCACCTGAACAATTTCCTTTCAAAGTGGTTCATATTATATGTACTGTCTGCATATCTATAAAAGCAGTTGTTAAATAATGAAAGAACCCTTCAGTCGAGACTTCAAGCAATACGCTGAATTGAAGCCTTCAATCTAGAGTGCAGGTTTGGGAAAATGTCTTTATATATGTGCTGGTTTCCCAGATTTGTTGGTCACAATGTCCATTTTCTCAATAGGAATAGTGAATCACTTAAACATCTCAGGCAAGAGAGATCTAAATGCCATCAAGAAGGTTGGTACTGAAATGTTCAGTGATGGTGAAATGAATTGGGGCAGGGTGGTCAGCTTCATCGCCTTTGGAGCAGTCATGGGAGAGCACCTGGCAAAACTTCAGCTGGATGACTTAATCGATTTGATGGCTGAAGAAATCACACAGTACTTGACTCAACAGAAAAGAGAGTGGCTTCAGAAACACAACGGTTGGGTAAGGAGGTCTTTTGGAAAACCCTTTGATCAAGAAAATCAGTGCACTTAGAAATATTCGGAAGGATTTAACAAGAAGATCTTTTGTCACAGGAAGTTTCACATATCTCTGATTCGAATCGTTTAAGTCATTTCTACTTTCTTAAGATTTATACATCTCCCTCTTGAATCTCTCAATTATGAATCCAGGCTGACATTAAGCTCTCCAAGGTGAATGTGTCCTTCCTTGAAATGCCCAAACCCAATAGTTTCTATTGTAATAATTCTAATAAATTTCCCTCTGAAGGTGCTGATCATGCTGGAGTGGGATGCTTTGGGCCCAGCTAAACACTTAACAGGTGGAAGCAACTAAATTTGGGTAGCGTCATGCCCTAGTGGCTTCCCTTCATGGACAGCATTGAATCCTGCCTATTAAGCCACAGGCTAATGTTCTCTTCCTGTGTCGCTTGAAGATGATTAGCAGTCCAGTGTTAATTGAGATTTCCCTGGGTTGATATACATCAGAGTGATCCACCTGGTGGGCCGCATCCAGCCCGGTGAATGTTTTCATCTGGCCTGCGAATAATTTCCCGCTCCCTTTCTTACCATCTCCTCATGGCAGCGGCAGGAACTGCAGGTTGGTAAAAACACAGTTTACCTTACCCTCAGCTTGAGAGGTACATCCTAACACACTGCAGCAGATAGTAAGTGCTGAAGGCTGTGAGTGATTGAGAGACAATAGAGCGGGGAAAGAGAATGTGATAAGTGAGAGAGATAGGCAGATCCATAGTATTCCAGGGCACTGCTGATGACAGCACAGCCCAGCCTGGCTCATTGACAGGACTTGGAAGGGCAGACCAGTCACAGGGGTCAGGAATCCTCCCATTCAGCACCTGTTAAACCCAAAGCCCTAACAGGTGGTCCTAGCTGGACAAACAGCAGTAAAACTGCAATATCAATCACAAGCTATGCAGTTTTAGCTGGTTAGACTCCAGCAGATACCCCAACGCACACTCTGGGAACCCCAAGACCTTGGCTGTGCTAACCCTAACTGTAACGCTAGTACTTTCCGAAATTTAGGTAAGCAGGATGCATCCCTCCAGGAAGAGAGTGCATATTCTAGTCCAACAATTTATCTGTGGGATTTCCATGTGTAGTTGGGATGTGGGGAACTTTCAGCCTGGTTTGGAGACTCTTAAGCATGGCGACAAATTTTTGTGTGTGTCAGACACCCAGCTGACCAAAAAAAGGAGAGAAAGAGTGTAAGAGAGATGGATTGAGTGAAAGATGGAAGAAAATTCAGAGAAAGAGGGGGAGAGTAGGTGAATGAATGACAGAGAGGGGGAGCGTTTGATTGAGAGAGAAAGTGATTGAGGGAGAGGGGGGAGAGAGAGAAACAGCGAGAGAGAGAGGAGAAGTGAAGGCAGTATTTTGTGGTTCACTCTTATGACTGATGATCAGAACCTCCCTCGCTCCCTGTTGTCTGGAGTTCCATTCTTGGAATCCCTCCGACTCCCTCCCCTCTTCCAAGGCATATCAAAACCTAAATCTTTTGACTGCATATTTGCTTTTCCATCTCCCTTAGCTCTGAATCCCAGCTCAGGTGCCCAACTGGCAGTATCAAGAACTTTGTATAGGTGCTGTGTTGTTTCTGAAAGGGAAACACAAAAATATTGCTTATTTTATCTCACAGACTTTTCTCAAAACAGGCCATTGGTCTCTCAGCAGACAAAGGGTTGGACCACTCTAGTTTTAATGATGCCATGGACAAAGTACCCCATTTTAATTTTTGTTCTGTGTGTTATGAGACCAATATCTTTTCTGTTTCCTGTTTTGATCAATGCACCATCAGTGTCATTAACATGACAAATCAGGAAATAAAGGCTGCCATCATTACAATTTCCCAATACAGTTTAAAAATTAACAGCCTCCACCTACTCAATAAATGCCATTCCTTTATTGCAATTCAGTTTGGGCAATGACTGAACCAGAAAATGATGTATGCGTATCATCAGTAGAATATGCTCCTGATTGACACACAGAGGGGTTTCTCCCTTGTCGGAACCTCTGCCTCCTGTTTGACACTCAACTGTCCTTCATACCCCACATCCATGTCCTCACCACTTTTCCCCACCTCCACCACTATCACACACTGCAGTCTGCTGAAACCCTCATGCACACATTCATAACATCTTGCTCGATTAGGCAAACTTCCTGCTTGGCGGTCTCCCCAATTCCTCCCTCTACAGGCTGCAGATCATTCTGTGTCCTCTTCTGCTCCGTGACGCTATCATCCCCATCCTCGCCTGACACTGGCTTCCCATCACACAGAGGATATAGTTCAAGATCCTAGTCCTCACTCTCAAAGCCCTTCATGGCCTTTTCCTTGCTACCCCTGTAACCTCCTAACCCCAACGTTTTCCTCTTGTGTTCCCCACCATGCCCACCTTCAGCCACTCTGCCCCTACCCTCTGGAACTCCATCCTGTAGTCTCTCTGCCTCGCCCCATCCCTTTCTTCCTTCAAGACCCATCTCAATACCCTCTGCTTCAACTGCTCCTTCAGTCACCCTCCTGCCCCTACCCTCCCTGGCCTCCACCCTCCCCGATCCTGACCCCTAGATTGGGTCTGGGAAACACTGATTGTTCAGGACCTTGGGATGTCCTCCCAATGTGAAATGTGCTACACAAATGTAATTTTGTTGTTGTATTTGATCATCTCAGCCAAGGCAGTCAAACTTTAGTTGGTCTCAGTGCTAATTGGGCCCAAAGAAAATTCACCCTGGCTGTGCTGTCTGCTGCTAGAAAGTGCTTGTATCTGGACAGAGTTCACAAAGTTTAGTCCCTGGTGTGATTTCTCACTCGTAGTCCTCCCCAGCCGAAATGGCCATGTACCGATTGGCGATGCAGATAACTAATGGAAAGTGTGCTACCGTACCCTTGGAACATCCCATGATTAGTTCTTTGAGGCGGAAGAGGATTTTTATTTTAATCTGCAAGTTGTGTGATTTTAAGCTTGCAGTGTATTAAATATAACCAGCTGCGAATGTGCTTCAGCTTATAAGGTCATGGTTTCAATTGTGTCCAAACTCTTTCCTCCCATCCTGCAGGCCCTTTGCTTCACTCCCTCCCTTGCCTCTTTACCTGGAAGTGTTTGCTGGAATACATTGAATTGTTTGCAGTTCTGAATGTGGTTCTTTTCTGTATAGGATGGTTTCACGGAGTTTTTTGAAGAGGATGACATAGAGGATTCTACAAAGAAAGTACTGATGATGGTTGCAAGTGTTGGTTTGGCTGGGGCAGGCCTTCTGCACTGGTTGAGATGAACCAAGGTATTGAATCTCAAAAGAACTAAGTAGTCCAGGCCAGTTGTGTTTTACCCCTTAAATAAAAGACTTTTCCTCCACTAACCATGTTCAGTCGCATTCAGTTGGAGCAGTTTCTGGGAGCTCTTGCCGATGGAAGAATTGAAGAATGGGGACACAGCTACGGTAATGTAGGGCTCTCCTTACAATTTGGAGCAGGATAGAAGTTCTGAGTCTTTGACACAATGGATATGATCTTGGCAAAAGCTGATTGAGAGTGATAGTCCAGTCATTGCTAAGCTGGGGATATACTGCACTTGCTGTCCTAGATACAAAGATTTTAGTGGTTTCAGAGCCTGATCTGACTGAGAGGTAACCATGAGTACACATTAGGTCATATTGGTCTTTTGCTGCTATGAACAGGATTGACACTTCTCCAGTGTTGTCTGCCCTCAACGCTGCCTTTCATGGGGAAGTATTCTGAAAGGAAAAGAGTTGAAGTAAATTGTAAAGTGGATACAAATGCATGATTAAATTACCAGATGGGGGGGTGGTGGGAGCATACATTTTGCCTGCATTTCTGAACTATTTTATGCTCGGTGTCCACCACCTTGAATCATACACATTTGGGGACTGTTAGTATGATTGAGATTAACCAAAATGAAATTAGTAATTTGGTGTAAAAGAATTGGTCAGAATTGTTTTGGTCCTGCTGTTGTTTAGTTAACTCGGGAAAGATTGCATCTTTTAAATGAGCACATTATTTATAACAATAATAATCCTTGCACTTATATAATAATCGCATCTTCGAGACTCCTCAAAACGCTTTGCAGAATATAATTTAAAGTGAATTTATTTTATTTTATGGGTTATGCCAGCTATTGAGAACCAGTTTTTGTCTTTTCCCCCCCACCCTGTTCATTCCCTGTGGTAGTTAATCCTCATCAGCTCCTAATCTAATGTAACTGAATACTTGGAATGGCACTCATTTTGTGTCCAACCCCAGTCCTGCTGAGTCCAGTTTATTAATAGTAGCCAGGTAGAGCTCTTATAAAGCTTGGCATTCTCTGAAGGCATGGTAGTTTGACATTGAAGTGTAACATAGCTATAAGGGGTGTGCATTCTTTCTACCCAGCAAGCTCTGGGGTTGGTGATTTTGAGCTTTTGAGGCCAAAGGTGCTCGTTGGATTTAAAAAAAGAATAAGCAAATTTACATCTATATTTTTGCCACAGTTACCTGCACCTTTGGATATTAAGCAGTACCTACTGCCAGATGTCAGCCAGCAGTGTCACAGAAATAAATGTTATTTTCAAAACCTGATGCTACTTTTATTCTGTGTGTGTTGGGGAGTGGGGGGAAGATGCTTGGGAGTGATAACACGTTTGTTGCAACTGGCCTGGCAGATAATTTCATCCAGTTCAAGACCATTTCCAACTTTGGGCCACCTGTTCCCTCCCTCTCCGATTGAACATCCCTGTGGCAGCGACAGGAGCTGGCGGTTGGAAGGACGCATCATGGGGAATTAATGCTGGCCATTATTGCAGTGTGTGTCTGAACTGAGGGGAAAGCAAATGGCACTGCTTACCAACTACATCCTCCAAACCGTTGAGTCCTGTCGCTGTCAACAGGATGTCAGATGATTGACAGAGCACGGGGGAGAGAGTGTATGTGTGTGGAAGAAAGAGGGAGTGAGAGAGAGTAATTGAGAGAGAGAGAGAGAGAATGTGTGTACCGGGGAGAGGGGGGAGAGAGAGTGTGTGGGAGAGAAGGCGGGGAGAATTTGTGTGAGTGACCGAACGGACTGAGAGTGATTGAGAGCAAAATGAGCGAGGCAAAGCCCGAGTATTCATTAACCACAAGCTGAGGGACCCGTTTTGTTAAACCTTGGCTCATTGTTAATCCAGGAACTTTGCATATGAGTAGGAATGTGGAATGATTCGTTTCATTCAGTCGTGTTGAGTTGTCTAACCCTGCCCTTTGAATTTATTTCGATCTTTGATCCAATGCCTATAATATAGAAACTTCTCATAGTGCCTCACATGCAATAGCTGTCAATTATGTCAGACTGAAATAGTTGGTAGGACTTTCGCCTCTTGAGTCAGAAAGTTGAGGGTTGAAGTCCTTAAGATTAGATGATAAACTGAGATCCTGTCTGCCTGTTCAGGAGGACAATATAGATCCTATGACACGACTTGATGAGAAGGGAGTTTCTTTCCTGTTGTCCTGATCGACACTCCCCCAAATAAAATTGTTCACTCACTATTTGCAGGAGGTTTGCGCAAAGCTAGCTGCCATGTTTCATCCACAAAATACATAGTCACTCCACTTCACAGATATCCTGTGAAACTCTTTGGGATATCCTGGTGTGAAAGGCAAATGTAAGGATTGTTAATTGTCATGATTTGTATACTAGGTTATTAATAAGCAGCAATGTCCTGCACACGCTCGATGAATGAGTGGTGAATGGTGCTCACCTTTAAATCCCTCCACCTGCTTGAACAGAACTGACCTGGCCTCTCCTTTTGCTCAGCGCATTTCGTCCTGCTTCAAGGCCCACACCATTAGCACCCGGGCTTTCACCCATTTTGCTCCCACTCTCTGGAACTTTTAACAGCTGCCTGAAGGGGAAGGGGAACAAGGTTTAAGGAAGGACGCCGTCTCTGACAATGCAAACGGTTTTGTATTAATCCAAAGTTTAGTAAGCAATACAATTAGCTTAATTTACTCTTAAAACAGACAATAGGTTTAGTAAAATCGATATCAATTCCACTGGAAAGCGTGCTGACCCTCTACGATGACTTAACCTATTTCAAATTTATATCTCTGCTTTAACTGTTTTTAACTCTGCCTGCCTCTACTTGTAGCAGATTTACAAGTTTCCCTGCCTTTGTCTCTAGTCTTTCCTCTTGGAAATTGAGCTGTAGCCCCCATGCTTCTCAAGCTGCTAGTGACCTTGAGAAGGCTGTTTCCAGAGAGAGAGATAAATGGACAACTTTTGGGCAGTCTTCCATAGCCTGCTTGTTTCTCAGCCTTAAGATAAGCAGGTGTCCGAGGCTGTAGCCTTTCTCTTGTTGGACCCTCTACCCCACATCTGTGCCATGACCAGCTCTGCCTTCCTTCGCAACGTCGCCCAGTTCCACCACTGTCTCACACCGCAGGCCACTGAAACCATCAAACATACACCTATTGATAACATCCAGGCTTGACTATTGTAAACTCCTTGTCGGCCTCCCCAACTCCTCCCTCCGTGGCTGCAGATCATCCAGAACTTTGCAGCTCCCATACCAGGCTCCGTGACCCTATCATCTCCATCCTCGCTCGACTCCACTGACTTCTCATTACGCAGAGGATACAGTTCAAGATTCTGGTTCTCATCTTCGAAGCACTCCATGGCCTTGATCCCCCCCTACCTCTGAGAACCTCCAAACCCCCAACCATCCGCCTCGCTCCCTCCCTTGTCTTCATTCAAGCCCCTTCTCAAGATCCTCCTCTTCAACTGTGCTTTCATTCTCCCTGGATCCCCTCCTGCCCTCCACCCTTACCGATCCCCACCCCAGCTCGGGTCCAAAAGATTGATTGTTGGCGCCTTGAGATGTCCTCCCAACGTAAAATACGCTAAACAAATGTAATTTTGTTGTTGATGGTTTTTGTTCCCACATCTGTGCTCAAGGACCTGATCACCCAAATCTCAGAACATCTTCCCAAGAAAATATGAAATGTAAACAGAAGCTGATCTCAACCTGATCAGGTCAATATATCTTTACTTTCACTAATGCTAATTAGCACATATATCCTCTCAGCCCTATGGTTGTCATTAGAATAAACAACCTTATGAAAGGAATATGGGTAGGTTGCATTCTAAAAGTACAAAAAATTAATTGAAAGCCCTAAAAACAGTAAGATTCACAAATATAATCTTATAGTCCTCACTTTGAAAGTGCAATAGTTTTGATCTCAATTGTTAATATTTCCTTCAGTTCTAAATATCCTTGCCTTTTCCTGACTCACTTCAAAGTTTGCTTTACACTGCAACTTAAAATGATAATATTACCGGGCCAATTTCAACACACACATCATTATACAAGGCCTCATGAGACCCAAGTAAATACCAGTCTATTTACTGACTCTTTTTCCATTGTATAAGGGCACTCTGAGTCCTTTGTCAATGCTACAAGATGTGGTACAGTTTAATTTCATACTGCCCTTTCGATCCCCATTCCATTTCATCAAATCAAATTAATGCTTATGAGAGGTTAATAAAGTTCAGTGCAATGAGTTAATCAGATCAATACAGTAACTTTATTAGGGATTGACTTGGTGACTTGGTTCAATCCATATTGATTGTAGTATATCCCTCTTAAGATTGGTTAGACTTGGCTTTTCTGTTCCCAAACTCAGACCATTTTGGTCACACGATTGCCAAATCTGCAGTGAGACGTTCAACAGCTTGTTTTTACCATTCATTGGAGTGTTAAAAACAGAATCCTACTAGGTAACTTTCAAGGTCAGTATACTCCTTTTGTCTTGGCAACCTTTATGTACCAACGTTACCAGTTTCCTTGAGAGTCCATAGAATCATCTCTATTTCAGCAAAACAAGTTCTTGAGTCTTCGCAATTTTCTTTTTGCCACAATCAACCCCACCTTCAAAAAATCTTCCCTCGACTCACTCATCACAGCTATCTAGCTGCCGGCCCATCTCAAATCTCCTTTTTCTATCCAAGGTCTTTGAGAGAGCTGTTGTCTCCCAGCTTCGCTCTTTCCTCTCCTCACTCCCTCCATGAACCTCCAAGCGGGTTTCCGTGCTGCCCACAGCACAGAAACTGCTCTGGTCAAGGTCACAAACGACATCCTGACCATGTGCAACCAGGACTCCCTTTGCCTCCTTGTCCTCAATCTGCTGCCTTTGACACCGTGGACCACTCAATCCTCCTCTATCGCCTCTCCTCCCACCTCAACCTTCAAGGTTCTGTCCTTGACTAGTTCAGGTCCTACCTTTCACACTGCCTCCACTTCGTCGCAGCAAATGGCTTCTCCTCTAGCCCCCAGACCATCTCGAGTGGCATTCCTTGGGGCTCTGCCTAGATCCCCTCCTCTTCACCCTCTACATGCTCCCCTTGGTGACATCATTCACAGACATGGGGTAAATTTCCACATGTATGCGGATGACACCCAACTCTACCTCTCTGCCTCCACCCTGAACTCCAGGACTACTGAGGTCCTGACCGACTGCCTGTCCAACATCAAGTCAGGCACTGGCAGAATCAACCTCCATTACTGCACACTCAACCTCACTAAGTCAGGTATCTGGGTGTCTTGTTTGACCCTGTCCTTTCTCCCTCACATCAGTGCCATGACTAGCACTGCCTACCACCACCTCCTCAACAGTGCCAGACTCCGCCATTGCCTCACCACTCAGGCTGCCGAAACCCTCATCCACACATTCGTCACCTCAAGGCTTGATTACTGGAACTCCTTCCTCATTGGCCTTCCCAACTCTTCCCTTCACAAGCTGCAAATCATCCAAAACTCTGCAGCTCATGTACTCTCACACAACAGGCTCCCTGATCCCATCACTCCCACCTTCGCCTGACTCCACTGGCTCCCTATCCCCCAGAGGATTGAGTTCAAGATCCTTGTCCTCACCTTTAAGGCCATCAATGGCCTTACCTCCTCCTACCTCTCTGACCTGCTGACTCCCTACCAACCTGCCCATTCTCTCCGTTCAGCGGGCTCCGGCCTGCTCCGTGTCTCCCGCCCGACCCACCCTACCATCGGTGGGCGGGCTTTCAGCCTCTCTGCTCTCACA